CGTTTTTTATGCCAACGAACATTGTTGTCGCTTGAAATGCTTGTACAGAAGGAGCATTGGAGACTACATGTTTGGGGCTATCCTAAGTTTGTTGATAGGTGATCATTTCAGCACTGGCTTGTCATGTACTGACCCTGAACTTTGAAACTGATTCAACCAATGTGCTATCTGATTGGTTATACCCAGGTACATGTACAACTATATGATGGAAAATACGCATTTTGACAAATTGTACCCAAAATTTTAGCTAATACTCTTTACTTGTCTCATGAAATGTGCCTGTGCAAATTTGCATCCTATCAGCTCCCCAATGCTTAACTGGAAGGACTGATTCTATAGTTCTATTTTGGTAGAAACTTGATTGATTCGTTACTGTATAAACAGCTAAAGGAAAGGAAATCCAAAATGTAGTGACATTCTTAGTAAAACTGGTCGTTTAATTGACGTTACGAACATAACACTGGTTTGGACTAGTGCGGCATATGCAATACAAAAATAGTAAAAGCCACGATTTAGTGTGCGGGCATCGAAGGAACATTTCATCTAAAAATTGAGCAACAACTCAAAGTTGAAAGCCTATTATTGTAAACATAGTCTCACAATTGTCACTTGAATGAAAAGTGATTGTTGGTTCGAAAATAATGTAAACACTACTTGAGACAATAATCCAGCTCTAAAGCTTGAACTTGTAGTGGGACAGCCCACCTGGCCGTCACCATGTCAATGTAGTTTTGGGTTCGGACTACCCATACTAGTGGTAGTAGTAAAATTAGAAGACACATGGTGCTACTGATGCGTCCACATGATCATACTCGTCGGGGCCCACTAGTACCGATCTTAGTCGTTCGGACCCACTATGATCATAAGAGGAGCCATACTACTAGTACAGGCATCACACGTGCCGTACCACTAATCAGGGTCTCGGTACTAGATGACCGGTAGTCGGGGTCGAGATGAGGAGCACTTGAAGTGCTATTGGTGGGACCGCCTAGCTGGGCACCATGTGAACATAGTTTTGGGTTTGGAATACACATAGTGCTGATAGCCAACTGTTGTCGTGATAATCCGTCTTGCTCGTTGGGGACGGCTCATGGTGTTAGCATTTCCTGATGACCCATTGTGCTAAAAGGGATCCGAGGGTCAATAGTGGTACTGGTAGTATTAGACGACTCATGTTGGTAGTGATGTATCCGGATGACCCGTAGTACTGGACATAAAGAGCCATGAACGTAGTACTACCTGTAGCAGATGGCCCACAACCATCGGCCTTACTCATTCAAACTCAGCATTACGGATAGTCCATGTCCGAATCACCGATAACTACCAGTAGTCGGGGTCGAGACGAGGAGCACTTGAAGTGCTATTGGTGGGACCACCCGGCTGGGCACCATGTGAACATAGTTTTGGGTTCGGAATACACATAGTGCTGATAGCCAACTATTGTCGTGATAATCCGTCTTAGCTCGTTGGGGACGGCTCGTGGTGTTAGCATTTCCTTATGACCCATTGTGCTAAAAGGGATCCGAAGATCGATAGTAGTACTGGTAGTATCAGACGACTCATGGTGGCAGTGATGTATCCGGTGGCCATGGTCTTAGTACTACTTGTAGCGGATGGCCCACAACGACCAGCCTTACTCGTTCGGGCTCAGCATCACGGGTACAGACAAGGAGTAATTGAAGTGATATTGGCGGATCCATGCGGGTGGTAACCAATTTTTTCCTAAGCGTACCATTTTGTTCTTCACTGGTTTGAAACGAAATGTCAATTCTGATCATATGAGTGTTACAAATATTTGAACACGTATTTTGTAGATTAAGGAAAGGGTCATGGGCCCAGTAAGATAAAGTTGGAAGTTACCAGACAATTAGTTTGGCCAAAGCCCGCGCGCAGGCGAGAAACAGACGTGCCAGAAAATTTGGTGTTTCATCAATCAATCTTTCCGATTTTAAAGGAGCAATCAATCTTATCACGCGCGTATCTATCGCCCCTTCCCAAATATTCTCATGCTCCGCTCCCACCTCCCCCATTATCAGCAACAACCTCCAATCACCTCCGATTCACACGCGACCTTCTCCTCCAAGGCCAGTCCCATCGAACGCCGCCGCCCTGTTCACCGGCTGTATCGGAGCCGTCGTCCTCACCCACGGGAACGGAGCTGCCGCCGACCGCCCATCTGCCCTGCGGAATACGACGTCACTTCTTGTTCTTCGTCCATGTTGGATTTAAGGTGAGAATGCCGGCTCTTATCATCAGTTAGAACTAAGGCAACGCATGGGATGATTTCAAATGAAAGAATGGGTTCCGCTTATTCTTTGCATGAACCCATCATGAGATCTTATGGGTTTTTCTCTGAATTTTGCTCCGTCCACAGCATCGTGATCCGCCTCTCTGCTCGTCACCGGCGCCAACTCTCTCAGCCATGCCATCTTGCAACGACTCGCGCCAGCATATAGAAATAAAAACCAAGAATATCGGTAAGTTTGTTTAAACAGGCTCGTACATGATTATGTTGGAATGTTCATTTATTTGGTGTCCTGGGTACCTCTCACGGGTACATGAATTAGCAGAGCTGGACAATAAAAACCGGAGCGCCCAGCAACAACCGTATGTCCACAGGGCCTAACTCGCCGCCGCCTGGCCTGTGCCACTACCCACCTAGCCTGTGCGATACGACGGTACTGCTTCCTCTTCATCCACCCATTCGCAAGACGGTGAGAACGCCTGATCTTAGTCAACAGTCACAAAGAACCCATTACAATCTGCATTCGAATGAATTGATCCAGTCTATCTTTGTGCATATTTTCCCGGAATGGCTAGTTCGTCCAATAGTTATGCTGACACAGAATTACCACTACCATACGTAACCAATCAGGTATATTAATCCCAGTTAGGTTAAAATCTTTGAAAACACACAGTTCTTTTACCCATTACACATATTTCAGGCTTTTTTTGGAGGAACTCAGTGTGAAACATGCAAATGTGAGGATATCGTGCTCACCTTCAAGGTTCGCGGACCCGATCAACAGATTACATCCTGACCACCAAAAGGTCGTCTGCAGTAAAACTGGTCTTGGAGGGCTAAGACAGATGAAGTCAATGTCTCTCCGGCGTATTATGTTGGTGCTGCTAGCCAGTGGAAAACCACTTGCTATACTAACATACCACAACAGAGGGCGGGTATGTATATCCAGCTATATGATTCCTCACCTACACAACAATACTTAACTTCAACTTCACATCACAGTTATGCGTCGCTATCTAATTCAGGCACAAATACATATTTTCAGCTGGAAAATATGTTCAAGCCTGCTGCGTTCAGATTGTTACAAGCTTCGGAAAAAATCATACAAGAATCCTATAACAGTAAGTTCTACACAACTAGCATTTCATGTCATGTAGTTCCTACTTTTCATGATTGCATGTAACACCACCATTTCCTCTACAGAAGGACGAGTACGAAGCAAGCATTCCAGAAGAACGAAAAGGTGCAGATGACGACGTCACGATCATCATCAACCCTGATGTTACAAACAAACCGGACACATCTGGTGCCCCAAAGCGTAAACGTGGACACCCGAGGAAGAATGCCCCTCCTAGTAATCCAGTCAAACAACAATTTGACACCAAGACTATCGCTAAACAAGTGAGGTTAATGGACTCAATCGCAGACTATCAAGCGTGGTGTCTAGCCCATTTGTACAGCCATGAATGGGCTACACGCAGTTCCACATGATTGTTCTTCGTAGCATGTTCTTTGAATTAAAGACTACACTTATGTTCTGATGTTTTTGCATATTATTTCTACTATTATGTTTTGCATTGCGAATGTTTTATACTTACTGTCCATCCAAATGTGTGACACTTAGTGTCCATGCAAACATCACACGTTTGTGTTGCTATTGTGCCACTTGTCATAATAAGTGATGATACATATGTGCTGCATTAATGGTCTCTTGTCAGGGGCATAGTTCGGCCTGACTTTTCATAGGTTTTGAACCAGGTAATGAGCTGCGTGTTTGACTTCTATCATTTGCACCAACTGATCCAAACCTATCTGCATCAGAGAATCCTGATTTTTAAAACAGTACCAGAAGTAACTACTTACAAATGCATGCTCCCCATTCTATACGGCGCCAAACACTGCCTAACTATATAGTTCTGGTTTAAGTCGGCGATGATTATGGCTGACACAGGGTAATGAGAGAAGCATCTTTTGTGAATGAAAAGAATGTTTATAACAATTTAAGGAAGAAAAACCATAGCATGTAAATATCATGGCTGACATAGGGTAATGAGCAATGATGTAAATATCATGGTTACACGAGATTAGTGTGAGATTATTACCTCCCAGCAAAAGGAACGGAATCAATAATTCAACTAGTTTGATGGATTATTACAGTCGACTCCACAAGAAAAACTACAGGCTGCAGCAGCAGCCGTCAATGCACACACACAATCGTATTGTCAAATGCCAGCCTCTCCTGCAGAAAATAAGAAATAATAGCATCGGGAATACCACGTACCATTTTTTAAAGACATATCAACAAGAGTTGGTACATTGCAGCTTGTGTTGCATCGAGACTAATGCGATACATGGAGCTAACAAATTTCCAAGTAATAAATCTGTGCCCAACTCTGTTGGGTAACAATACAGGAACAGATGTCCCAGCTAGCTTTACTCTAAAGGAGTTCTGCTTACTAACTAAACAGCTAGGACAACAATAAGAACCAGCATAAGATCAGCAATGTACAAACAGATGCTAAACTTTCTCATTGGCAAAATAGGTTGTGCATGCTTCTTCTGTTCCATACTAAAGGTGACTGCCATATTTGTCAAGGATGATTATGGCTGAGGCATGGTAATGCACTTGTAGCCACGCGTGCAAAGCAGGCAAGAAATTCATATAAACTAGGTATTCTTTCAAATTGAGCCAATTCTGGTTTCGAAGATATACCATACATAATTACTGTCCATTCTATACGGCCCCATACACTGGCTAAATAATCAGAACTATGTTTGAGGCGTGGGTCATGTACGTCTTCAGCTCCCAATTCACCTTCTCCTCGTCCCACATGAACCCCTGGATGTTCTGCACCCACTCGAAGTAGCTCACCACTTCGCCGGAGTTGGGCAGGATGTCCGGTAGGATCAGCACGCCCTTCTTTGCCAGAATCTGCACCACGAACATGTACATTTCTCTACTCTCAGTCAATGTGTGAAATGTCCCGTCAACAAATGCAGCTTAGTTTTGTGGCAAAATGTTGGTGTTCTTGCCTCGTCGGCCTCGGGGTCTGTTGGGTGGTTAGCAACCTCGATGATGTACTTTGCTCTGATGGCATCAGCATTGTCCCTAGGAGAAGAAGACAATCGAACGGACTTTTTATTAACAAAAATGTTTTCAGATACAGAAAAAAAACAGCCAGGAGGGTACTTTAACTGAGCTTCAGAGCAGTAATCTGATAGAAGATAGGATGAGGTGAGCTGGGACGAGGAAAAATAAGATTACTTGTTTATCACTCCTCCCAGAGCTGCCGGGATGAGCACATCGCAATCTTCCGTGAGCAGCGAGGTCAGGTCGACGGCGTCACCTCCGTGGGAGCCCTTGATCCCGCGGTTCTCTGCCGAGTGCTTCATCAAGTTGGCTATGTCAATGTCATTGGAGTTCTTGACAGCAGCTATCTTTTTTCATACCTACGATCAGCAGCTATCACCTAGGAGAAGTGCATGTATAAGAAACTCAGCCTACTTGTGAGTTGTTTATTCCCTTGTGTAAACAGTGAGGTCACAAGTTCATAAGTTGTTTGGCCTGTTGCTGCAGTCAAGTAGCATGTATGAAGTGTAAAAGTTTGTCAGTAGCATGAGACTTGTAAACCAAAGTGCAGCACGAATCACGCAGGGAACTACTCAGATTACAAACCAACAACAACCTCAACAATTTCATTCACTGGAAGAAATCAAAGTTGTTTCTTTCAGATTTTTGCAATCACAAACAACTTGATATTCACCTTTTCTAAATCTTACTTTCACCAATACATATTAGTCCCATTTTGAAGCTTCAGCATAGAGAACAATTGAAATTAGCAAGAGGGTCATCTAAAGTGAACAAGCTACATGGTAGTTATCCAATAATGGATGAGCCGCTGTGGGGAAATGGCTATAGTCCAATGCATAATCAGAAGAACAGTGTCTGAATCTCCAATTGTAATTTTTTTTCACAGCACGTAGGTTCTGAATCCATACTGAATCTAATCAAAAGCATTGAGAAGGGGGAGATATACCTCTGTACTCCAGCTCCTTTAGCTGAACTCCTCCACCTATCGCTGGGACGGCTGGTCCCGGAGTGGCTGTCGAACCCGTGCTGTATGAGAACTAGAGATGCCCTCGGCGGTCAACTGCCTCTTGGACGGCTACGGCCGCCGAACTGGTGCAGGTTGCTCTTCCTCTTCCTTTGGACGGCTACCACCGTCGTGCGCTCGATCTAGCTCTTGACGGAGAGGAGCCGCGACCGCATTAGATGTTTGTCCTCCAGCCCCTGGGACCCCTCCGCCGCCACCACCGGGGTCATCGGCTCCGCCTCCTCGCCCGAGCGGCCATCCTCGCCGACCCCTCAGCCGCCGCCGCCGCCGCCGCCGGAGTCATCGGCGGCACCGCCCTATCCTACCAAGCTGCTTCGAACAGATAGGGCAACGAGGGGAGCGAACTCAACATGTATCGGCTTGACTGATATTGGACGGATTTACCCTTTTAGATAATGAGTAGCCCCATCATAATTTTGTAATGGTCCCACTATTATTTGTAATTTCATGTAATTTTAGTCCCGTAACTCCTTGTAACTCCTATTTCTCCACCGTTTGATTGCAGTGGATGAATGGTTCCTAAAATCGCCAATTTTTATAAATACATTTCTTGATGAATTTAATGATATACATCGGGGTCAAAGATGTCCTTGTAGCGATCAGCAAGGCCCCTATCCTAACGCTGGTTCAAGACTTGATATCCCGGTTTTGGACCTTGAAGTTGAGAGCATGCTCCTCCACATTCTCCGTTTCTTCAAGGAATGCCGTCATTATTGTCGTTTCAACATGATATGCCGCCGATGAATCCATGAACTCAGCGTAGAAGTACCCCCCGGCTAAATCCATCATGTTTAATTCAAGTAAACAACAAAAAGGCCAAAAAATGTGTATGGCATATGACGTAACCTAGGCGGTGGGCGTATCCGACAAGGACGGTTGGGTGGAGTGTTGGAGGTTCGGCAAGGCCCAGGCGACATGGGGAAGCAAGGAAGGTGGTTGTGGTGAGCTCCAAGAGCGGGAACAGAGAGCAGAGGAGGAGGGCGGCATCTGGAAAAAGAGGGAGGGGGTTGTGATGGGACCGGGCTGTCAGATGGGTTCGTAGTTCTAGCCGGGAAGGTGATGGGTTCGTAGTTCTAGCCATGTCTACCTTAAAGTAGGGATTCACGTTGGATGCTTAAAAGTGCCCAGATCATCCGGTCCGGACATTTGAACACAAAGTAGGGGTGTTCTTTGTAGATGCCCTTAGCAATAAGGTGAAAATAGAGTCAATATCACCATAAGTACGTGAACTTGCACAATGATAACAGATCCATACAAGAACTTGAAAAAACATGAAAACTAGTCACTTAAGTCTTGATGCGGTAACAGTTTGATACAAAACGTTGATTAGCTGCCAGATCGGCGCCATGTTATCAAGTGGCACGCACCTGTGTTATTTGTTTTTGCACAAAGACCCCTGGCTTATGTTGATGCATTAGAAGGTCCTGTGTTTCCCATTCCCCATTGCTCTGTCCAAATCCCTAACACCAAGCCTGAACCTACACTCCCACCATTGAGGGCTCCTGGTGATCGCGCACTTCGGCATCGCATGCCTCCGGCGTCGCGAAGGAGGGTGGTTGCCATGGCATTGGTACACCGGCCATGGGAGGCAGAGCTGGTCTCGCTTGCCGCGTCGACATGGGTAGCGGCCGTGGCATTGAGACATCATCCACATGAGGCAGAGACGGTCTCAGTGGCAGCGGGACATCGTCCGCGCGACGTAGAGCGGTAGAGGCGGTATCGCTGGCAACCGCATCGGCTGGAGGAACGATGGCGAACAGTGGGTGGTCACCGGCGTTCTGTGAGGCTGAATACCTGTTGAAATATGCTAAAGAATTATGATAGCATTTGTACTGCATGCTGAGAGGGCTATGTGATATTGAAAACTTGTCTAATTGGTCAATGTAGCGATTTATGCTTCAATGTGTACCGAGTAGCTTAAATCGGCTTTGGAGTAGCGATTAATCGGTGAATCGTCCTATTATCTGGATTAATCGGTCGGTCATTAATCGGTAGATTAAATAGGAACCTGCGAACATTTTCTATTTTTTTAATGTATTATACCCTACTCTCATGCTCTCAGCTACGTAATATACCAAAATATGGTATTGTTTGATCAAATCCTAACTATTGAGGAGCGACAGAAGGATGGGAGAGGTTACATGCCAATAATTTGGGCTTTGTTTGCCCATAAGTTAATAGGCCAGTAGCGATTAATTAGCCTAACAACCGATTAATCGGTCCGGCAGGCTAGCTAATCGGCCTAACAGGCCATTTAATCGGCATGACATGTTAACGCGATGAATATTTGCTATTCGAATCGGCCACCCAACGAGTAGTGATGAATTGGCTCATTAACTGATTAATCGGATGAATTCTTGAACAATGTTTTCCTGTATGAGACACATGGAGGGCCAACCCTTGGATCTGCTCTCCAGAACATGCATCTCTTTGGCCACCTAAAATTGCTAGGTGATGAGATCCCCTCATGTGTCTTCACCGAGCCAGGCCTTCAATATCTCGAGACCATTGTGCTCAGTGGAATTGTCAAGTGGGATGACATCGACTACCTGGTGGAGGATCCTCTTCTTCTTCGTAAGGTCCGACCGAACATTACCCAACTCAAACTAAATGATGTCAGTAAGGTGCTCCAGAAAATCAGAGACTGGTTGAGGAAGATATTGGTCCAAGAAGGAAACTGAATGAACCAGGTCCATAACAATTTATTTTGTGTTTTCTTGACATCAAGGGCAAAAAGACTTGTTTTTTCTTCGATTGTTATGTTTGATTTAGTTCTTGCTACCTAATTATTCAAGTTTTTCTATTGTAATTCAATCATTTATGTATGCGAAAATAATTAACAAAACATGTTCATTTGTATTTAGGCTATTTTCTCATTCACTATATTCTTTTGAGTTTATTTTCATGTGTTTCTTCTTCTACCGTGCATGATACATTATAAAATCGTTCACTAGCAATAGTAGTGCATTGTGTGGTAGTACATATTCGGGGTCAGATTTGTGTACATTGGATCTGGTGCGTGCAAACAAGGGGTATGCCTGCACACCATGACAATCAAATGCACGACACCAAAATAAAGAAGCTTCAATAACTTCTTCTAGCAAACAAATCACTAACTTCATAACGGAGAACCAAACATATTTCATGTGTTCTACACTTCAATTTCAACAAACACAGTCGAAGCTTCCATGTCAAAAGGACTCAGGATCCTGCATGCGCCTAGATGGTAGTTTCGATAGAAGGTTGCGACTAGGATACTCGGTCTCACGGTGTTGCTACTATGTCCGATGCCTTGAGTCGGTGGATATCCATGCGTGCCCTTTGATCCTCCATGCCGTCTTGCACGTCGAGTTACAGCCTCGAGCCTTGTCGAGGCCGAGAATGGGCACACGCTAACTCTCTCCCTCCTCCTCCGGTCACCACGGCGAGCTCCAATTGTGGCAGGCCACACACACAAGGTGTCCGATGAAAACGCCGGAATACTTTTCCTTTCGTTTTTGTTTTTAGCTTTATTTTCGCAAAAGTGTGCAAGTGTAGTTGAAATTAGTTTTTGTTTTCAAAAAATCTCATCCTTTATTCATTCATAAGGATCGTAGCATCGCTTACAATAAGACGAATAATCACACCTGGGGCGGTGTCCATCCAGATATTTGGAGGAGAAAATGTAGCTATCCTAGCCAATTCATGAGCAACTTTATTTCTTTCTCTATTACAAGGATCATAGATGACATGAGTAAAGTCAAGCGACATAAAATAACAGTCATCAAAGATTGCATAAGCTACTGAAGAAGAGTAACCATCGATTAGGCCAGCAACAACCTCCACACTATCAAAGTTTACCTCGATCTTACTGTATCCAACTGTACATGCGAGGTTCATTCCAAACCTCACCGCAACTGCCTCCTCCGTGAATGAGTCAAAGCAAACATCAATCTTTTCATTTGCAGCTGCATGAACTTTCCATGATGGTCTTAGATGACTGCTCCAACCGTCCCTGGAGCGTGTCCACATCAAAACCTGCATCAATGTTTACCTTAACGTAACCATATCTTGGTTTCAACCAATTGTCTGATCACACCTTGGCCTTAGTGTTAGAGTTGTGTCGAATATTATTGTACAAGGTAGATTACAGTTGGACTTGGTTTTGTACTGTGTGTAGACAGGGTAGGAGTTGTGTCCTATTAGGACACCTGTATCCTAGGCCTCTCATATATAGCGGGGGTAGACACACGATGTAACATATGCCAACATAATAGGACGGGCACGCGGGGGAGCCGG